TATATTAAAAATTCTATTAGTAATATAATATTCTATTAGTAATATAATAATAATTTTTTTATATACAAAATATTAATTTTTTAGTATATACTAATAGAAAGTATTTATAAAAAAATAATATTAGTATTTAGTATTAAAATAGTATAAAATTATGTAATAGGAAAAATTTATATTAGTATAAATTATTAATATATATCAATGTGTTATCTTATAACGTAAAATCTATTGATATAACGTTAGAAGTTAGAATTGATTATATAATAAATTACAAATTACTATTATTATTTGAGAGAAGTTATAATTCATAATTTTGTAACATTATTAACATACATCGTAACATATTGCAGGTGCCACTTGAAGATTTTGGAGGAGACGGTGAAGATTACCGATCTTGTTTTGCTACAAATGAGCTATTTGATAGTCACGAGGAAGCTATTGAATGGGCAAAAGACATTGCAATGATATGGAATTTCGAATTGGTCATCTCGAGACACGAAAAAGATGGAATGGTTCAGACATTGAGGTGTGATCGAGGGGAACGTTACAGAGGCAAGGCAGGAAAACTAGAAAATCTTGTGAATGCTGTTTTGAGACGTTCGAAGACTAAATTTACTGGCTGCCATTTTATGATAAAAGTCAAATTTGAAGCAAATTCCAAAAAATGGAGTATCTGGCTTCCTTTAGAAGACGAGAAGGGATTTCATAATCATGCTTTGGCTGTGCATCCCGAGGGTCATTGACAGATGAGCCGACTCAGCGATTCATCCAAAGAGATTGTCTGTGATATGACTGATGCTTAGGCAAGACCGGGAATAATATTGACTGCAATTCAGGAGAAAAACCCAGTGGACAACGCTACTTGCCGACAAGTGTATAACTATAGAGGTCAATTGCGAAAAGACCGTCTGGAGGGTAGATATTGTTGGCCAGCTTCTGCATTTGGCTAGGGGCAGCAACTACATAGTTTACACAGATGTTGACCCGGACACACAGGAGTTGACACGTGTGTTCATGTCGCATCCAGGAGCAGCCAGTCTATTCCAGACATATTACTGGTATGTCGGTATAGATTCCACGTACAAAACCAACAGATATGTTACATTAAGTTATAAATAGTAATATAATGTGAATCTTAAAATAGTATGGTTGAGTAAGTTTTTTGATTCTATGTTTTTTCTTCTTGCTTCTTTCATTTGCACAGGTACCACATGCCGTTGGTTGAGATGGTTGGAATGACGCCGTGCAACAAGAATTTCTTAATTGCTTATGCAATTATCAAGGACGAGACCGAGTACAACTATGACTGGGTCCTACAGCGGTTGAGACTTCTGATAGGGCCTGATGTACATCCTACAGTCATTGTCAGTGACAGGGAGTTGGGGTTGATCACTCCTATTCAGAGGAATTTTTCGACGACGCCCCACTTACTCTGCACGTGGCACATCAACAAGGATGTGGAAGACAGGGTCTATCGATTAATGTCGACAACCACAACTAAAAATAAGATCTTCACACAGAAGTTCACCCACGACAAGTGGAAGAAGGTTGTCGAGGCGAACACGTGGGACAAATACAAAACTGCCTTAACTGATTTGGCTGTTACATACGCGGCATTTCCTCATGTGCTGGAATATGTGGATCAGACATGGCTAGTGCACAAGGAGAAGTTTGTCAAAGTGTGGACGGAAACTGTCTTACATTTTGGCAACACAACGTCGTGTAGGGTGGAGAGTTCCCACGCTACGTTGAAGCGGTGGCTTAACACGTCGACTGGTTCGCTCGACACGGTTTGGGAGAAGATTGACAAGGAGATTGATTCTCAACTGACTAAAGTCAGGCATATTTTTTAATTTATACAGTAAGACTGTGTTATTAATGCATTAATTATAAATTTTACTTGGGTCGAATGTTATGTTATATAATGTATTACCAGGGAGACGCTGGAGTCTTCGAGACTTAGGATGAGTACGGGCTACAGGGGATTCCCTTTCGAGCAGTTGACACTGCGGGTCTCGCATTACTGTATGGATATATTGAATGATGAGCTTCAGAACATGCGAGACTTCGGTAAAGATGTTTCGGAGCGCTGCGATTGTGCACTAAAATACACTCATGGACTTCCTTGTGCCTGTGAGCTAAGGGAGGCACACACTGTACGTAGAAATATTACGACCGACGACATCCACATCTTCTGGAGCACACTAGAGGTGATGCAGCCAGGTATAATTGTGAGATTAATAAATCTATAGAACATCATGCTCGACATTTTATTTCTCCTCAATTTTATTTAATTTATAGAAATTTTGATAGAGCATATTGTATAATTCTTTAAATTTTCGGTACGGACAGGTCAGCAGAGTGCATCGGCGAGTGGATGGACTGATCATGATTATTTTCGGAGGCTTGCCGAGGAGGTTGAAGCGGCCGATCCTGCGACTGTACGGTACCTGAACCATCTCATCGACTCTCAACTTCACCCTGATCAACAGGGATACACAGAACCTGCAGTGAAGGAAAATCCGAGAGGTCGGCCCAAGAAGAAAAATTCAACAAAACGCGATCTATCGAGATGGGAGTACAGTGAAAGAGGCCGTACGGCGGGGCATAAAAGCACTTCTTTGTGTGCTCCATCGCAATCGGGGTACACGGAAACAGGTCGTCGGCCGGGGCGTAAGAGCACTTCTTCTTGTGCTCCGTCGATGTGGGACTACAGGGAAAGAGGTCGTCCGGTGGGTCGTACAAACACTTCTTCGTGTGCCCCGACAAGCTCATCGTCTCAAGATCCGACAGGTAATTTAATTTTATTTTTTTATCTGAACGATGACTAATTATGTTTGTAAATTCGATTACCTAAATTATGACGTGAAATTATTCTGATATTACAGATACATTCGGGACGGATTTTTTTCAGTACCGACATCGTGGTAGGATTCCCTACGTAGTTCACAGCTACGTACAAAGTTATCTGGATGTGACGCCGGACGGGAACTGCGGATTTCGGGTGGTTGCGAGTTACATTTATCGGGATCAACAGAAGTGGGATGTGGCAAGAAAAAATATTGCAAATGAGGTTACAACCAACATTCATTTGTACGCTCCATTTTATTGGGATGGGGTCGACGTCGCAATCGATCGTATAAGATGGGACGGGGGTCCTTGTGGCGAGGAGCATTGGATGAATGCTACGGGCGACCTCTTTGCTATTGCTACACTGGTCAATGCAGTTGTCGTGTTGTTAAGCTATGGTCCCAACGATAACAATATGGACATGGCCAGTATGACGGTATTCCCGATCCGCGCACCATCCACGGCTACACGACCTGACTGTGAGATCGTCATAGGTCATCTTGGTTCCTACGCGCACTTCCATTCGTGTCAATCTGTGTTCTGATTCTCCATTATCGCCTTTGTGTTTTTTTTGGGAGAAATACCGAGATGTTTCGGTTCGAGATTGGCCGTATCAGTACTAGAGCAGGTTCCAGTTGTGGCATGATATTCGTACTGCAGCTGAAATTCGATATATTGTGATATTCGACTTATGTCTGCAGTTCTTTTTTTAAATTTAATTTTCATGCGTTACGAGTGATAGATTGTGGTATCTCGCCGTGTCTACCGTTTCACGTGATATAATGAGAGAATTTTTTGTTTAGATGAAAATAAAATTAACTAACCACAAATAAAAAAAAAACAATTCGGGTGGTTTCTGACAACATCCAAAAAAAAATATAAAAAAAATAAGTATTTATTACATCACTACTGCGCTCTGTCGAAATCCAACCTCAACTGAGC